ACTACAGGAAGCCCGAGGCAGAGTTGCTCTGCCCCAGGCTTCCTGGAATCAGCCGCTGATCAGTTTCAGCAGCAGCTGACTGGGGACGCCTGGGGTTCTTAAGTTGAATCTGTATGCAAGTCAGAACTGGCATCCAGATTCAGCCGCAGTTGAAACTGATCAGTTTCAGCAGCGGCTGACGCCAGTTCCGACTTACATACAGATTCAACTTAAGAACAAACCTACAGTCCCTATCTTGTACGTAACCCGGGGACTGCCTGTACTTTATAAGGAATGACTCCCAAGTAGTAGTCTTGCATTTTGTTCCAATAGCAATGTTTTCTCTAATTTTTTTCCATCCATGGGTGAATTGAATGTTAGTATGTGCACCAATACTGTATAGAGGTAATATGTGGAGGGGCGCCACCATTGCAAACAAAAACTAAAAATATATTTGTAAATGTTCCTAGATATGGAAGAAGAATATTAAAACAAGGCATAATTGACAAGGTCATTGCTTAAGATATTGAATAAGAAATCAAATAAAAATAAAATTAACACTGCCCTGGGATTAAAAGTATTTTATCATTCTTTTAAACAACTCAAGCTAGTAAACACACCAAAATGTGGCACTCTCAAAACAGCCAGATAAAGAAAGGCATGGCTATTAAGTGAAAACATAAAAATATTCAACAGAAGCCCAATTTAATAACTTACTCTTCCTATCATACATAGGTCACTAAATCTTCATGGAAAACTTCTCTGAAAAAAATGAAGCTTCTGCCAGAACATTACCTTGCCATGGACTTTTGCAATTCACAAAACCATCCCTGTTGCATGCATATCATCTGCTCACATAGCTCAGCTTTTAACATGCTAAACCAATCTATGAGTCACCTAGAGGTAGTCAAGCCCTCATTGCAAATATTAACACAATATTTGTTGATACTGGAAGAAGTGTAAAAAACATTCACTCAGTCTTATACAATTTCTAAGATATATCAACTCAATACTACTTACACAGAAAACAGTAAAAATAAATAATAAAGCAACACAAAGAGCAAACAAAACTACAAATAAACAAATGACAACACTGAAAATACAAGGGGAAATAAAATAAGTGTCTGGTTATGTTTATTAACAGAGTGATTAGGACTCACACACTATGCAAATACAACAGAGCCCTGAAGAAAAAGGCAAAGTTTTCCTGGTTTCACACTGAGTTTTACTAACTTAAAATATCAGAGTTAGTTCATTAAGCTTTTACAACTCCCTCCCCTAAGGAAATGGAGCACCTTAACACATGGCTTTCGTGTTTGCATATCAGCTTGAAAGAGTTTGCAGATAAGCTCTTCATCCTACAAAGCATAACTCTAACCCTAATGCTTGTTACTTATGAGTCACTGAAGTACTCTGAAGAGCCAGAACTACACTAGATAACAAAGATCTAGTCGTAATGATTTTTAAAACCTGTCCCCAAAGAAATTCTAAAATCTAATTGAATACAAGTGATTTCCGTTAAGTTTTAGAAATTGTTTGGGAAGAGGCATCTCTCCTGGCCAGTGTCACTGCAGCCCCTGAGCTGCAGTTCAGACAAGATAGGTTAAAGATACAAGAGTTTGGATTCCTTTTTTTAAAAAAAACAACAACCCCACAGCTGGAGTTATTCTCCAGTCAGAACTTGTTTCTCTCTCCTCCCAGCCTGCACACCCAGCTGGGACCCAAAGGGAATCCCACTCCCCTCTTGCTTCTGCCCTAGCATAGCTGGAGCTGGGACTTAAAGTCTCTCCTAGGTGCTAGGCAACCTAGCTGGGGGTGAAACAGTTAGTCTCCCCTCTGCCTGGCCGCCTAGCACAGACAGACTAGCTGGGACTGAAACAGAAGTGGACTCTTCTCTATGAGCTGCCCCAGCGCAGCTGGAGGAGGGGGAACTTTCAGTGTCTCCCAGCCCCTCAAGCAGTTCAGCTGGTGCAGAAATGGAGTTGGACATTCCTCTGCCTGCTAAGGACTTATCCTGGCTGTTTCAGGCATCCCAGCTGGAAGTGGGATGCCCCAAACTTAGTCCCAAGCCCCACCTGATTCACTGATCCTGACCCACCCCTGTATTCTGCCCCTCCCACCCCAGCTCACCTTCCATGTCTTCTTCCGAGTAAAGAAGTCACCTAATTGGCGGAACCACAGCTATGTGCGGCTCCACTAATTAGATGTGCGGCTCTTCATTTCCTCTTGCATGGGTGCACTCTACAGGGAACTATGTTCAGTAGGATCAGGCAAATGACGCTGCTACTGTCCTCTTGGAACGAGATCTCACAACAGTTAAGCACAGGAATTGCTGCTAACATTCAATTATACACTGTTTAATCCATCTGGGAATAGCCTGAGCAGATAGTCTGAGAATCATGACTTGTAAGAAATACCTTAGAAGGCTCCCTAAAATGCTTAGTTCTATTTAAATAACATACCAAAGCATCTAAAATGTGTAAAGCAGTTGCCTCTTTGTTAGCATGAGATTTGCGGGTTAGGAGGAGGAGGGGGAGAGGGGAGGGGAGGGAAGGGTAGGGGAGGGGAAGACTGGTAATATAACTGTTTGATGTGAGACTGCAACACCATTTTTGGTAAAAATCTAGGATCGTATCTAAGAATCACCTTGTCTGTGAAAAAACATATGTAACCCCCTTTTTCCTCCCGGGGTTACTGGGGAGCAGGTCACACTCACAGGTGTGCCTGGGCGCCTGGTGTTTTAACCCAAAAGAGATCCTGGGCACCCCAGTGGGGATGGTGTTTAGTTGGGGAAAGCCCTCTCCACCCCCTTGCTGCAGTCCCTTGCTGGCAATGAATGTAAAGTGGCGGTGCCTCCACCTGGCTGGCCTTGTACACACACTGGTGCCTTAAGAGCCTCCAGGAATATACAGGTAGTCCCCGAGTTACGCGGATCCGACTTATGTCGGATCCGCAGTTACGAACGGGGATTTTCTCGCCCTGGAGGACTGGAGCGGCGAGACGCCTGGTCCCTCCACCCGCCTCCTCCGGGGCGAGAAAAGCTGCTCCCCGGCCCCCGGGCTGGGGGGGGGGGGGGGGTCCAGCAAAGCTGCTGGACCCCCCCAGCAGACCAGGGACACCCGAGCAAAGAC